GCTGCCAGCCCCTCCCCCGCCGCCGCTGTCCGCGGTGCTGAGCGCGGCACCGAGTGCGCGCGGCTCCGCACTGCCTGCAGGCATGCGCGATGGGGTGGGGGTAAGGGGGGAGGCGGAGGCAGTGTCCCGGCCCTGGTCTGCTCAGTTCCAGCTCCTTGCTGACCACGAGGGACCCAACCTTGTAGGATCACGGGGGCCCTGACCTGGCTCAGTCAAGGGTTAGGGAGTGCCCAGGACAGGGCTGAAGGTGTCTCCAGGCCCAATGGAGCTTCCGCCCAACTTAGGTAACCACCTTCTTTACAGGCCCTGACTTACTGTGAGTGGAGGGGACCAGGCAAAGACAATGGCTGGGCTCAGGCCATTTCCATGGAGGACTCTTATCCTGGTGGGGAGGGCACAGACTCAGTCTGGAGGTGGGGGAACACAACCCCAGAAGAGCTACTTCCCCACCTTCCAGACTCCACAGCAAGATGGGGAGATCTGGGTTGTAGGCCGAGAGATTTGGGACTACCTACCCCCTCTTCCTCCTCCTCAGGGAAGAAAAGGCTTTCCAATTCCCCAGGCCCAAGGGGGCTGGGCTCGCCTCCATCCAGTGCTGATAAGGCTGGGGGCATTGCCACTGTTGCCTGCTGAGCCAGACTCTCCACCTGCAACACCACGCACCCCAATGATGTGTAGGTAGGGCCTCAGCCATGTTCCTGTATGTGCTATGGGACCCCTGAAGTACTCCTGGACTATCTAGATTACAGATCCTCTTCAGGGCAGGCGGCCTGTGTGTGTGTGTGTGTGTGTGTGTGTGTGTGCGCGCGTGCGTGCACGTGCACACACATGCATGTGCATGCATACACAGCTCCCTCTCACCAGCTGATCTCGGGCTGCACTCAGACCCGCCAGAGCTTGAGCCACAATGCTCTCTGCCAAGGTCCCTGTGACTGATAGCCGCATGTCTCTGAAGGCAGGAGAGGGCAGAGGTTAGTATACTGGCCCTGCCCCAGCCATACCCAGCCCAGCCTCATGCAGCCTACCTGAGCCTAGTGAAGGTATCTTGCAGTAGCTGCTCTGGGAGCAGCTCTGGGAGGCCACTTGAGCCTGCCAGGACCCCCTCTAGCTGCTCCCTCCAGCCAGGTCCCTGCAGCATCTGTGGGCAGAGGCTCCTCGTTGTGTCCAGTGTGGCCTGAGTAAAGTCCTGGGCAAAGGTCAGAGCATGATGAGGGTGTGGCTAAGGCCCAAGTCACTTGGCTTCGCTCTGACCCTAACAGAACATTGGCTCTAGGGACATCACAGTCAAGCCTACAGGATGGGGGTCAGGCCTCCTTGTGGAGGTAGGGCTGGGGCAGGGTGTTCCATCTCACCTGGATGTCTTGGTGGCAGACCTTGCCCACCTGTCCCAGCAGGACCTCCAGCTTCTGCTGCAGCTGCCAGCGATGGCTTGGGGAGCTCCCAGCCTTATATAGAATGGGGAGAACCTGGGGGCCAAGAAGGAAAAGGAGGTGCAGACTGAAGCCTGACCAAGAGGGGGAGGGTCCTTTTGGAGGGGAAGCTCACACTGAGATAGAAGTTGGCGTTGCGAATGGCATCCTCAGCCTGGCGCACAGCAGCTTCACCCTGGGGTCCAGCCCCACAGCCCAGCAGCTCCACATGCTCCTGCACCGACTGACACAGTTCATTCACTTCCTGGGGGGTGGGCAGCAGGGATCAGCCCCAGCCTAGTCCCCTCCTAGCCTCCCAGACTCTGGCTAACTCCCTCCCAGGGTCTTGAACAGGGTGAGTGAGGTCCTGAAGCCAGCACTATCATGTGAGCCACTTAGGAACCCTACTAGCTCAAGGAGGGAGAGCAGTGTCCCCTCAACTGGCTCATTTTAGGGACTTTATATACACTTCCCATGGAGATGGCAAAGTGTCCAGAATGGGAAGGAGAAGGAGCTGTTAGTCCTGTCTGTGTTTTAGAAGCTGTTTACCAACCACATAGAGGATATACTGAGGGGTGGAAGTGAGGTGCCCAGAGATGAGGGACTGAGGGACAGGGATGGTTGAGGAGGGGAGGAAGGCTGGTCTGAGTGCTGGTCAGGAGGCAGCACCAGGGAAGTCTATGAGAGCTCCAATGTGTTCAGAAGAGACCTGGAAGGATGCCCACACCCCTGCCCCCAGTGCTTGGTAGACAGTAAGGCTTGTGGGAGATGTGTACAGTGTGAGGCTCCTGCAGGATGTCTGGATTGAGATGTCTGGGCTCTGGATTTTAGGAGAAAGTAGGATTTGGGAACTGAGAGGTGGGAACAGCTCACAAAAGCAGGGTTGTGGAGGGAGCTGAAACAAGACAAGGGGCTGCTGAGTTTGGCCACATAGAGATGTCAGTGGAGAGGGGAACCCTGTGAATGGGAAGGCAAAGATGGGGCTGGCTGCAACCAGAGAAGAAAACTGAGGGAGGATTTTTAAATACCTCTTGTCTTTAACAAGGAGCCCTGGTGGCACAGTGGTAAGCACTCAGCTGCTAACCGAAAGGTCTGGCAGTTCAAAGCCACCAGCCGCTCGTGAGAGAAAGATGTGGCAGTCTGCTTCCATAAAGATTCACAGTCCTGGAAACCCTATAGTGCAGTTCTACTCTGTCCTATAGGGTGGCTATGAGTCATAATCGACTCAACAGCAAAGGGTTTGGTTTTTTGGTTTGTCTTTGCAGAAAAGCTTCTTTAAATGCTTAAAGTAAGGTGGTTAAGAGGTGTTATCTAGGGAGCTGTTTGAGGAATCCCTGGTCCGGGTCCAGAAGGAGTTGTCTGGGACGAAAGGATCCAGACATCCTGGCCCCAGGAAAGTCGGACGCTCAGACTCATGGAGGCTCCCGGGAGTCACAGCTCTTCCCTTCCTATCCCGTGGGTACTCAAGGTTGGAGGAGGCGACACTGACCTGCTCTGAGGGGTTTGAGACCAAACCGCGTGGCTGCAGACAGGAGGCGTGGTCAGAATTGGCGGGGTCTGCGCGATTGTTTCTCCAGAGAGAGGCTTGGATCTGGGGGCAAGGGATGTTGAGACATGCCGGGGGACAGGGCCGTGGCGCAGAGAAGGGGAGGGGAGGAGAGGGAACTCCCACCTGGTGCACTGCACGTGCTGTCAGCTCTGGGCGGCTGCGCTGCGCCTGGGACACGTCATGCAGTGGCAGAGGCATGGCCTTCAGGCTGCGGTTCTGCTCCAGGGCCTGCGCCACGTCCAGCAGGCCCAGCGCAGACGTGTTGTTTCGGTCCCAGACAACAGACCTGGGCCGGCCGGGCTTCAGTCGGGGGCGGAGCTCCGCAAGGCCCCACCCAACCCACTAGCCCTATCAGTTAGCCTAGCTCACCAGCCCGCTCCATTTGCTCCGCCTCATTCTGCCCCGCCCATTAGCCCGGTTCTTTCACCTCGCCCGTCACCTGTCCTTTGGCTTCTCTCCATTTGACTACACCCCTCCATACCACGCCCTCCTCTCCCATTCGTCCCACCCCTCTATTCTAACCACGCCCACCGAAGCCTCGTGTTGACCCGCAGCGCCTTGGCTAGCATCTTGGCGCCGGTGTCCCCCATGGCATTGCCGCTGATATCCAGAGCTGTCAGGTTAGGGTTGGTGCCCAGGGCACGGAGCAGTACGCTGGCGCCCAGCTTCAGCCGCGACTCAGCTACAGACAGAGACTGCAGGGGCTGGGTTTAAGAGAAAGCCATTGATGGTTGGAGTCAGGTGTCAGCCAGGAGGGCAAGTCACAGGATCTGGGGAGCAGGAGTCAGGAGGCCACAGGGGTCCAGTGCATAAGGACCCCGCAAGGTGCCATGAACTCACACAGTCGTCGTCCTGCATGAGCTGGACAATTCGGTGCAGGACGTCGTCCAGGGTCTCCCTGTGGGCAGGGGCTACTGTTGCGGGGAAACGGGTGGTGGGGTGCTGCCTGGGAGGCCCGGGTTTGGGGTGGGAGCTTACTTGCACCGGACGTTGAAGTTCCTCCCAAGCGCCACATGTCGCAGGGACCGACTCCTCCCGATGGCCAGCACCAGAGTCACCATGTCTGAGCCGAAGCCTGGGGGTGGCTCGGGTCACCGACAAGGCAGGGCTGTGGAGGTGGGGTGGGGGGTTGGCAACTGGATAGATAATAGGAGGATGGGTTGCCGGGCGGCCTCACCATTATCCGCCAGATCCAGGGAGCTCACGGCGCCCGCGTCGCACACCAAGTCTTGTATCACCTGAGCGCCAGCGGAGCGCAGCTGGAGGTGGGAGGTGGGGTGGAACTCAGGCCACGCAGACCAAGGGTGGGGCGGGGTTGGGAGGCTTCCACAGCCTCCCAGATCCGCCCCAAAGGTGTTGGCCCACCGTGTGCCCACGTCGCCGGGCAGGGCGTTCACCTCACAAGCGCTGAGGTCCAGGTGCAGATCACCTATGTGCGTGTTGAGCGCGAGGCCTTCCAACAGGGCCCTGAGATAAAATGTCACGGATGGGGAGCAGGGCCGGGGTCTGCACAGGGGGCCCCGGGGTGCCAGCAAACACCAGGAAGGCAGGGCAGGAGGCAGAGGAGGTTGTAGGTGTGATAGGAGCGGAGTGAGGCGCTGGAGGGTTGGCCTGGCCTGGAAGGTGATCACATACGCAGGGGTGAGGCCGTGGGCAGCAACACTGACCTGAGAGCGTCGGGCGGCAGCTTGCAGTTTGCCAGGCCCAGGTGTCGCAGCGCCCCCGCACGGCTGAGGAAGAGCTGCAGCGCGGCTGGCGTGGCCCGGGATTTTCTGGGTGGGGGAGAGGGAAGAGTGGGCTTCCGCGGGCAAGAAGGCGGCTCCTGGCGTTCCCCCGCCCCGACGGGTCCCCTTACATGCGGGAGAAGACGTTCCTCGAAGCGTCGAGGTGGGTGAGGTTGGCGCAGCAGCCGTGGGACAGCGCTGCAAAGAGCTGCGGGCAGAGGGTTCACCAGCAGAAGGACTGAACCTCCCTCCGTCCTCGTTCTGCCCTCCAGTCTACATTCTTTCCTGCGCCCGAGCCACCCCCCCCATCCCTCCCACCGACCATCCCCTCACAGTGTCCAGAGCGGTGTCGGTGCCTGCGAGATTCAGGAACGTCAGAACATTAGGACGGCTCAGGAAACCATACAGGCCCTGGTGGGAGGGTGGGTATGGGAGGGCCGAGTGAGGGGAGCGGCGGCCTCGCTAGGAGCTTCCTGACACTCCATTGCTTCCTGCACCCACATCTCTGCCCCTGACTTACTCCATCGTCTTCTGAGGGTCCCAGGGCCCCGGGATTTGCAGAAAGGTCCAGGTGGATCAGGGCAGAGTCGAAGGCCACATTGGTGGCCAGTGCCTGGCCCAGGGCTCTCATCCCTGGTGGTTGGGGGCGGAGAGGGAGGGGAGAGGCTCAGCAATCAGGCCGACTGTTCACCTGCCCCACCCCTTCCTTGCCCCGCCTACCTTTAGGAGTCAGCCCGGTCTGCGATAGGCTGAGTCTCCTCAGGGCTCCTGGACGCTGTTCTAAGTGTCTGCTGAGTGCAGCCACGCCTAGGGGATGGGGCAGCCATGTGGGTCTCACCCTCTCCGGCTGCCAGCCCTGGGTTCCCCAGGATCAGCCATACCTCTGTCATCCAGCAGGTTCCCCGCCAGGCTGAGCTCCTGCAGCCCAGAGCTCGAGTTTCCTGCCAGTGCCTGGGCCAGCCGCCGAACAAAGTCTCTGGGGACCAGACCCCAAGTGTGAGACCCTGGATTCTCAACCCCTCCCCAGGCCACCAGCGCCCCAATTCTAAGCCCCCAGGCTCCCTGCCCCAGCTCCTCCCTCCCTCCCTCCCTGCCCTCACCCCCTCAGGCCACAGGTCTCCAGCACCAGCTCCTCCAGGTGGGAAGACTGACTCATCATGTGCAGAATCTGTTCGGAGACCTCAAGGCTCTGAGGACCAGAGGGAGGTTCAGCACGCTGCACCCTGTCCCCAGCACCCCTGGTCCCTCCCTGCCGCTATGCCCTCACCAGCTTCATGTCCACGCAAGAGAGGCACCGGAACCACAGGTTGTAGGACAGGGCAGCCACGCTCAAGGCCAGGTCCCTGGGTGTGGGGAGGGGTGGGCAGAGCTCAGGGCCCTCTGGCCAGATCCTAGGCCCAGCACCCCATCCGTGGAGAGACTGAGGCCCAGGAATGTGGATCCTGGGATCTTCCTCCCCTCATTCTTGGCAGCACGCACCGACTGCCGAGGTGGCTAAAGTCTCCTAGGCTGAAGTGGCGGCAGCCCTGACCATGGTAGATGGTGTCCACATCCTGGACAGGAAGAAAGTGTCTACAACCGGCTTGGGACCACAAGGGGCAGGGAGGGGTTCAGCTCACCCGGAGGATCAGATGTCTCCAGAGTCCCCAGAGAGGGCCCTATCCTCACCCACTGAATCTCCTCTCGGAAGGGGAAGCCGTTGTAGTCACACAGAGCCTCATAGGTCTCTAAGAAGCCACCTGGGGACGTGACAGGAGTATGACAGGGGGAGGAGAGAGATATAAGAACAGAGATGGAGGAAGATCAGACCCAGGCTGGGTGATATCTGTGACCCCAGAGGCTCTGTTCAGCTTGGGAACCTCCCAACTCCAGGATTCTGGGGCTCCAGGGCAGGACAGGCAAGAAGCTCTGAGTGGCCCTTCCTTGGCCCTTACCACAAGGGCTGCCAGGTGTGGTGGCCTCTGAGGGGCTGCTTCTCTCCAGCTGAGCCAGCATCGAGGGGGGTGTGGGCCTCCGGAATAGTTTCCTGGGAATGGGGGTGAAGAAGGAGAGGCAAGGGACCTCTAGGCCCTAGGATGTGAGGCAGCCCTCTGTGCCCATCCACAGCAGCTTCCTCCTCCCCCTGCTGCCCTGTTCTGGGCAGCCGCTTGCAGTTGTTGGGCCTCACCCAAGGGCCGAGCGAGGGAAGACCTTCTTGATGGCCACAGTGATATGCTGGGCCAGTTGTTCCAGGGCAGTCACCCCAGGAAACTCCAGGACCAGCTCAGGCAGGGACTCCAGCTCAAAGGTGACCTGGGGAGGGAGGGCTGCTGGGCCTGCAAGGCTCCATGTGCGGGGGCAAGTGGGGGTGAGGGTAAATTCCAGGCTGCAGGCCCAGGTGGGGCCCTAGATGCCTCACCTGAGGGGGTGTTTCCTGCAGTGCCATGGCCTGGACCTCCAGGTAGCTGAATGTGCAGTCCACCTAGGAAGCACCTTCATCAGCCTGGACCAATCCCTGAGCCCCACCCACATGGTAGCCTGAACTCAGACCTGCTGGGAGCCCAGTGCTATTGGAAACTCAGGGCCCAGAAGGACAAGATGGACAACTCTGCAGACACAGGTCCTAGAAAGGTAGCTGCTGAGAGCAGGAGGGATGGTGGCCAGGCTCAGGGACTCACCCTTAGGGGGAGGCAGGTGTGGAGCAGATAGGCTCTCCACCGTAGCAGCGCCTGTGGGGAAACAGAGTTTGACATCCTGGGCAGAAAGGGCAAGAGGCTCTTTCTGCCTGGGCACCAGCCCCCACATCCCTGCCAGGCTCTGTCCCCTGCCTGCTACCATACCAGGACATGACTTCGATCAGCACCCTCCCGCTCAGGCAGCCAGGCTTTCAGCAGCAGCTCCACCTCCTTTGGCCACAGGAATCTGGTGATCTCGCCTGTGGAAGGGCAGCTTGCTGGGTGGCTTTGGTCCTTCCTTGGAGGCCAATTCACAGCCATATCTATGCCAGGCTGAGGCCTGAGGCTCCTCTGTGGGCCAGCAAGGAAGGCGTGGAGGGGATCTGAGGAGCCAAGTCTTCTGGAGGAGGAGCAGGGAGAACTTGCCTTGCCGAGTGCCCCGGGGCGCTGGTGGGCCCCGGTCTGGGGGCCGCACTGCCTCCTCCCAGCCAAGTAGGCGGGAAGGGTAGGGGCTTACCTCGCAGCTCACAGGATATGCCGTCGGGGATTTGGGCCATGGGGCCCGGCCAGGGCGGCCGGGGTGGCCCGACGAGCTCCGGCGGGAAACAGCAGCGGGCGGGCGCGCACACAGGAAGCCCGGGGCCCGGCCCGCTCTGCAGCCACCTGCTCCCTCCGGCAGCGGAAGGTGCGCGCAGCTTCCTGCCAGGCCGCCCCCAGCCCGGCTCCACCCCGCCCGGGTTACGGGGGTGTAGGAAGGGGGCAGAGCCCCAGCTGCCTGCCCGCTCCGCCGCGCAGCAGCTTCTCCACTAGGGCAGGTGGGAGGTGGGGACTAGTGTGGCTGAGAGGCGCGCGGGTCGCGTGCCCCTCGCTGTGCCTAGCCCCCCTACCTTCACTCTGCAGCGCAGTCCCTGCCGCGAGCACCAGAGGGCGCTGCCTGCCCGGGGACCCTCCCCCGCTCAACCCCGCGGCCCAGCTCGGTTGGTACCTTTCAAACCCAAGCTGGGGAAGTGAACCAGGGGCCCGACAGCAGGGGCGTACATTCAAGTGGGAGCTCCTGAGCACTCCAGACACCTAGGGTACGATCCAAAAAGCCAGATGCCTGGAGGGATGGTGAGTTGGGGGAACCATCAGGAGAGAGGGAAGCTAGGGTCTCCAGGGCAAGGAGGGGGTCAGAAGGTCATGGAGTGAGGGGCCTGTCAGCCAGCAGCATAGTTGCGGTCCAGACAATTCTGGCTCATGGTGACCCCATGTGTTTCAGAGTAGAACTGCACTCCATAGGGTTTTCATAGGGTTATCAATGGCTGTGAACTTTCGGAAGTAGATTTCCAGGCTTTTTGTCCCAGGTGCCTCTGGGTGGATTTGAACCGCTAACCTTTTTGGTTAGTAGCCAATAACTTAACTATTTGCACCACCCAGAGACTCTGCCAGCCAAATGCTGCCCTATAAAAGACCAGAGACCTAGACTCTGGAGGGTTCTCAAGAAGGGACTGAATTTTTTCTTCTGTTACAATCTGATCACACTCTATGAGATAAGGAGCAGTCTTCTATCCTGCCCATAACAGGCAGGCATAACCTGGAAAGTACGTAAAAGGCACAGGACAGTGATCCCTTGGTTTCTTCTCCACCTCTAGCTACCCTTCCCTGTCTTGAGGCTTGGAGACAGTGAGTGTGAAAGTATCCTCCAGTCAGCTGACCTCTACCCCCTCCCTCCCCTCAAAAATCTCATCTCCCACTTGCTGAGATTCTCTAAAGGCTGAGACAAAGTGGAAAGTAGAAACTGAATAGTAGCAACTTGGGGGAAGTGTCCTCCATTCAAGCATCAGGAACATGGTGTGATAGCTAAGGGCTAACAGGTTTAGACTCAGGTGGAGAAGAGGCTGCGAATTCATGCAAACAAAGGCAAGAGGAGGCCCTACTCTACTGCCTTCTTGTTTGGGAGAATTAAGAGCTAAGACTGCTTCTAAGGCCACATGGAATCCACAGACTGCTTTTAGGGTGAGAACTTAGTAAGTCTCACCCAACTTACGTCAAAGTGGCCAAGAATGCAGGTTCTGAAAGTATTCTGCCTGAGTTTAAATCCTGCCTCCACCTCTTACCAGCTATTTGACACTGAACAAGTTACTTAGCCTCTCTGGGCTTCTTGTTCCTTTTCTGTAAGCAGAAACTAATGATTTACCTCAAAGTATTGCTATAAGGACTAAATGCTTATTAAGAGAATGGCTCACAACAGTGCCTGGCTCTCGGTACTTGGTGAAAAATCACACTAGCCAAGTCTACCATGGTATCCCTGAGATTCCAAAACAGAACCATAAAAAGCCCAACTCGCAGGGACTTTTCTGTTTAGAATGGCAAGGATGAGAGAACTACAAAAAGGAATGACTGCCGAAGGGCTCCAACGAGCTGCTGCCCAGAGCAGGGGACTCCTAGGTCAGCAGCAACACTGGCTTGATCAGTCCAGTGAGCGGTCTGGCATTTGTGGGGCAGGCAGGGGCTACTGAGGAAATCAGGATCAGCATGGAGACAGGGACGGCGCTGTGGGTCTGGCCACATTAACTGCTGGTGGTCAGGATAGTAGTGACAAAACAAACATGACGACTGATATCAGAGCCCAAGTGAACACATGGCTCAGCTCCTACAGGGGACAGTGACTCAGTGAGAAAGAGGCCTTCAGCTTGTTCAAGTTCGTCTCTGTGTTCTGGACAGCATCGCACTCTGTGGGTGCTCAGGAAATGCTAAAAGCTCATGAGGAGGGAAGACTAAGCCCTCCAGCTCTTGAGTAGCACAGGATGGGGATGGATCCTGCCTCCAGGGTGGGTCAGGTGGCACCTCTCAGCACAGGGCTGACCTCTGATGGTTTTAAAAGACAGGCTCAATAAGGGTGATGGAAAAATTTGGGAATACTGGCGATGGCTGAACAAGATGCACATAATGTCACTGAACTGTACCTGCGAGGATTGTTGAAATGGCAAAGGTTTTTTTAACCTACATATGTACCACAATAAAAGTCTCACTGAAATTAAAAAACAAAACGTGAAGAATGTAACTAATGTCACTGAACTGTATATGTAGAAATTGTTGAAATGGTCTATCTTTGGCTGTGCATACTTTCGCCAAAATTTAAAAAAAAGGATCGTGACCGGAAGCACGGGCTTCAGTGCTAGTTGAGCTGGGCAGCAGTGGACAGGGGTGATGCCAACCCAGGTGTGGAAAGGAAATAGAATATAGTCTAATATTGTGAAGGGAGCTGCAGACAGGTCAGGGAAATTCTCCATCAGGAGCTCTTTTTTAAAATTCTTTTTTATTGTTGAGCTTTAAGTGAAAGTTGACAATTTAAGTTAGCCTCTCATACAAAATTTGTACACACATTGTTATGTGACCTTAGCTGCTCTCCCTATACTGTGACAGCACACTCCTCCTTTCTAGCCCGGATTTCCCGTGTCCATTCAACCAGCTCCTGACCCTCTGCCTTCTCATCTCGCCTCTGGACAGAAGCTGCCCATTTAGTCTCATGTAGCTACTTGAGCTGAGAAGCACAATTTTCACGAGTATCATTTTATGTCCCATAGTCCAAAGAGCTGGCCTTGGGAATGGTTTTAGTTTTGGGCTAACAGAGAGTCCAGGGGCCATGTCTTCCAGGGTCCCTCCAGTCTCAATCAAACCACTAAGTTTGGTTTTTTTCCTAGAATTTGAGTTCTGCATCCCACTTTTTTCCTGTTCCATCAAGGACTCTCTGTTGTGTTCCCCACCAGGAGCTCTTCTGCGTGGGGTAATAGTGGGTGAAGCAGCCCTGGTGCGGTGGTTAAGCTCTGGCTGCTAACTGAAAGGTCACTGGTTTGAACCCACCAGCTCCAAGGGAGAAAGACCCGGCTCCTGTAACGATTAGTTTAGAAAACGCTATGGGGCAATTTGATTCTGCCACATGGGGTCACTATGAGTCAAAATCAACTTGATGGTACCTAACAACAATAGTGGGTGAACACTGGCTTCTGCTGCTGGTTTTATTTTGAATGGAGTCATACAGATAGATGTACTGTTGGCTATGCATTGGGGGATCCCTTTGGCTTTAACTCTCAGAATGTCATTTTTCTTACCTCCTCTCAACCAAAACAAATCCATTTCGAAACTTTCAATTTGAATGTTGCGATCAGAAATGAGAATCTGGTAATGTTGAGGATACAGATAAATGCCTCATTGTTCTGCGAAGAGATTTTCTATTGAAATAAATAAAAATTAGAATTTTAAGTTATGTGTCCACTGAAACAATTCTGGTAAGGGACACTGGCCCCTGTGGGGGTGCTAGCCCATGGATCGGATGGAGACCTCAAGCTCTGACAGCCTGAGGCCACTACCACTTAGTCCAATGAGCTGACTGCCCCGCTTGGAGTCCTGAGCCCCAGAGACCCTGCATTACAGCTGTTTCCCTGGGAGACCTGACTGCCTGGACAGTACAGGAAGCCCTCTCCCCCACCAGAGTGGCCACGTGGCTGTGAATACTCCTAAGGTAGACCATGGAGCTGGCTGCTGTCTACCCACTCACCTCTCTACTACACTTTCAGGGAATTAAACTTGCAGCAGGATGCACTCAACATCCTGTCATTTGCCAAGATCGCCTCCTCCCATCTGCTAGAGAGGAAGTGGCGTCCCCAGGAACACAGCTGGCCCCAGAGGGGCCAGGAGACCTGCACAGCTCCACCTGGTAGAATGTGATGCTCCTCAGGGAAGGCCCAGCCCCCCACCAGGCAGGAACCACACAAGTCGGACTGTTTGGAGCACTTGTTAATCTGTTATGATTTATTAGCTGTACAGCAGTAGATTCTCCTCCCCAGCTTTCAATCCCATTACATATTACAGGTCTCATGTTGGCATCCTAAAATAATGAAAAATATCACACAGTACAGCTAAGTACAAAATGCATCAACCTAGAGTCTGATAGCTAACTGAAGGCTCTTTTAAAAGCAATACACAGACGAAAAAAGTATTTGAAATCAGCAAGACTGAGGTGCTCTAAAAAACACATTTTAAACATGTGACAGTTCATGTGCAAGAATCATTTTTTAGTTGGTTTTGTTTCACATTATTATTATTATTTTTTTTTTGAAGATCCGACGTTTAAATTACCGACCTAGTGAAATTTTCTGGCCCAGCTTTTTAAGAGCTGCTGTGACCCACTCATAATCACCCTTCGGCTTTAACAGAAGATTTATAAACACAAAATTCAGCTACAAACAGAGCAAAGAAAATGTAGATGGGAAATCATAAGTGAAAGTTAATTGTACAAGGTTCAAATGCTGGCTCCATGAGCTGGAAATCACGATCTTCCACGTGGGTGTCCATCACTAGCGGGCAGCAGTCTGAGTGCTGTTCTGCTACATGATTGTGATCCAATTCTTTGTCAACATTTACACACTACAGAGTCTGTGGTAACTTAATTTGCAAGTAATTAAAATGCTGGGTTTTCTTACACTGCACGTCTTAATTAATGGAAAAGATTAAAATGTAAAAAAAGTTATTTACAAGCTTGACCATACCAGAAACTTTGCCAAGAAAGAGGCAAAGCTTTCAGGACAGAAACCGATCGTAGCATGCCATACTACTGGTGTGCACCTGACTCCAAGCAAAGGGAGTCAGGGAAAAGCAAAAGCAAAAAACAGTTTAAAAGTCTAAGTCCTTCCCAAGTCTGCATTTACAATTAAAAACTCTGCTGGGAAGAAGACCAGAGAACTCTGGGAAACCCGGTGGCCATTCTGGAGTGGTTTACCAAATCCAAAGAGAGAGTACAATGTCTCTGTTTCCATCTAAGAAAACTAGTTAGGCTTCAACACTGTCCTCAGCACTTCACAGTAAACCTTCAGGTACTCAGAACATTCCATGATTGCTAACATCAAACAGCAAGTCCTAGTTAAATCACATTTTTCTAACATCATCCTTGGAAGTTTTAGTTCTCAGTATGTTTGGTAAAATGGTGTAAAATGATGCTTTTCCCAAAGCCAAAAGAAGAAAGAAGGGAGAAAAATTAAGATGCGGGCCGTTTAAACACAGCCCAGAGCAGTCCTGGAGATGAGCGAGGCCCTGCCATCACCGGTCCATCATGCTGAGGATCATCTCAGGCGTGAGGTCTCCATTGGGTGCATCTGTGGCAGCTGGTTGGGCCTCCTCCTCTCCTTCTGTAGGCTCTGCGTCTGGCTCTTTTTTGACTTCAACTATAATGTTCTCAATTGCACCTGTGTTCTGGTCTTCAACCTGAATGATGGCTGTTGCTGGCAGAAAAGAGCATGAAAAACAAATGCTACATTAAAACCCCCAAGGCTACACAGGTCCTTTAAGACTTGACACTGAATGGGATGTCAGCAACACAGAAAAGCCTTACTAGTAACACAAAAAGAGTCAATAAAAAAGACTTAATAAAATGTGGCCATACATAAAGCCCTAATAGTCTAGAAACCATTAAGGAACAAAATGCTAACATCCATCCTCACATATCTCCCAAATTACATATTAAAATCTCTAGTTTTACTTTGTGTCACAAATTTGAGCTTTACAATAGTGTGAGAGGCAGGCAAAATTGCAGACAGGCAGGCTGACAGCACATGAGGAAGGACACTTCATAGCGTGTTTGACGTAGGTGTGTTCTATAGGTGGTGTTCCACCTATAGCAAAGAGCCTGACTTTTTTAAATTCTGAAGCTCTCAAACATCCTGGACCCTCCCACCAGTTTTTTCACTTGAGTATGCATAGGTGAAATGAGAGAGGCTGGTTCCCAGGGTCTACAGCTAAGCTCCTCTCTATGACAGACATCTATATATGGGGCTCAGGGAGAGCACGAAAAATAGAGATTGTTAAAATAGAAAAAAGAACAAAAACAAAAATCCCCACCACGGTAACTTAAAATAAGTCACCAGCTTCCAGAAGGAGATCTAGAGACACGCAAGTAGAGGACAGGCCTGAGTTCCCCTGCGATGCGGGCCGGTTGGGCATACAGATGCTGTCTACTGTTCATATGTTGTGTGGTGGTGTGAGGTGGACGGTGACCACCTCTGTGTCTTCTCGTAAGTCAGGAGGCCACTACTTCAATCTACAGGCCTGAATTTCTTAAGCAGGACGATCTCAGCACAGAAATTGCTTTATCCTTCCATCCTTTAAAATTTGGCTCTTTTACATTCATTACCCTATCAATTCTGCCAGCCACTCTGACTCTGGCTGTTTTGCAGGACCCTCCCACGGTAACAGAACCCATCTTGTAGAATATAAGCACCCTTCTACTGTGGACTCTTCCTTGCTGAAATGTAACAGGCTTCTAGAGACTGCCTCAGATGTTCCTCAGCAAAAAGTACTACAAACTGCTTCCCAAGAGCTTGTTCCCAATATGATCTTACTTATTTCTCATGGCTTAGTTTCCATCTCCCCGAAGAACAAGAACCTGTCTCGCTCCTCCACACACTGGGGGAGGGTGCCAACCTACTGAGCTCTCAGCAAGACAAGCAACTTACGTTGGGTCTGTTTGGGCTGGTTGGTTCTGCCGGGGGGTCGTCCTCTCCGCTTCTTGGCGGGTGGTGGGGCTGGGGTCACAGGCTGTGGCTCTGGCTCTGGTTCAATTTCCACGGCAGGTTCCTCCTCATCCTCATTGTCATCCAGGTCTGGCTCAGCATTTTCTTCTCATGAAATCATGAAGAACAGGTGGTAGGGCAAGGAGAAGAACAGTGGAAGAAAAAATAAAACACAGATAATCACATATTCTGTTATGTCTAGTTACATATGGTTTTTATTAAGAAAAGTCCATTTAAGAAATGCTGGAATTTTCACTATCAGCATTAATATAGTAAACTGGTATTGTGACAGAATTAAGCAAATAAACTTGAACACTATTATTCACATTCTATGTAAGTGAACCAGGTCACTGGACGTTACTTTTTTCTTTTAGCTTCAGACTCAGAATACTGGGTTTCAAATTCTTAGAGGCAACTCCATCTTACACCATTATATAACAAAGCCACAATAGAGTGTTGAAGTTGAAAATAAAGCAAATGTTCCCTCTAACTACTGTACAAGGATAAATTACAGCACTAAACCTGAGATGGACCCTTGAAGACATGGTCCTGCTCATCTCTGTGTGGGCATGCGCATTTGTTGGGGCAAGACAGGCGTTCTTGATGTACTGTGAGGTCTTATTTACCAGGAAAAGCAGCAAGTGTTCTTGTGGGACTATTATTGATAGGTTTTTGTTATTTTTTAAAATTTCATCCATTTTGTTGTTGTTGTTAATATACACAGCAAAACATACACTGATTCAACCGTTTCCACAGGTACAGTTCAGTGACACTGACTACATTCTTCAAGTTGTACAACTGTTTCTGCCCTCCTTTTCTGACTTGTTCCTTCCCATTAACGTAAGTTCACTGCCCCCTAAGGTTCCTATTTAATCTTCCTAGTTGCTGTTGGTCAATTTGATCCTATACAGATAGTTCTCAAGAGAGCATAATGCTCAAGGCAGGTATTTTTTACTAGTTAAGCTAAACTATTGTTTGATTTTGAGAAGACTTTTTATCTCGGGCATTGATGGGCTTTTTTAAAGGCCAAGTTTTGGGACCTAATTTAATTCCCAGTTATACCAGACCCAATGGGTCATTCTTAACCCCCTCTCCACTCTCTAATGCTGTAACTGTCTCCTTCATGAAATAACAGGTACACAGAAGTAGACGGAACTATTGAAGAAAGAACAGTGCCCAGAGCCAGGTAACACGGCTTTGAATCCCAGATCTCTGACTAGCTGTGTGACCTGGGGCGAACGACACACGGAGCCTGTTTCCTGGGGTAATCTTAAAGCACTCCCAGCCTACTTCATGGTGATTTGAGGAATAAAAGGACTCAGCTAGCATGTGCGATCAAGCTCTGTAAGTTACAGGGCAGTACACAAACATAGCTTTTATTTTTATTGTATATCACAATGGAAAAAAATTCTCCATTATTCAATTTATACTTCATTTAATAAGAGGCTTCAGTCTCATTTTATTAAAAAAAAAAAAAGCAGGAAGAATTCAAACCTCTGACCTCAGTTTGGGGCTCCTTTTGCTGCCAACATCTGCAGGCAGCCAAAGAGCACTTGTTAACGAGTTATCTAGTACTGCTGTAACAGTGGTGGCTTTAACAAACAGAAATATATTTTCTCATGGTTTTTTATTGTTAGGTGCTGTTGAGTTGGTTCTGACTCATAGAGGCCCTATGTACAACAGAACAAAACACTGCCCAGTCCTGTGCCATCCTTGCAAACATTGCTATGTTTGAGCCCATCGTTGCAGCCACCGTGTCAATCCATCTCGTTGAGGGTCTTCCTCCTTCTCGCTGACCCTCTACTTTTACCAAGCATGATGTCCTTCTCCAGGGACTGGTCCCTCCTGATAACATGTCTAAAGTACGTGAGACAAAGTCTTGCCATCCTCGTTTCTAAGGAACAATCTGGCTGTACTCCTTCCAAGACAGATTTGTTCTTCTGGCAATCCATGGTATATTCAATATTCTTTGCCAACACCATAATTCTCACAGTTTCAGAGGTGATACAGGAGAAAATACCGGAACCATTTATTCCCTGCCCTAAAATGTGGCCCAGCTGGAGCTGGACTCACAGGGACTCATAAGGACATATCAACTGGGCCCTGAGGTATGAAGACAATAGGTAGGACAATCTTGGAAAACATCTTTTAGGGAATCTTTCATATAAACAACTCTAAAAATCCACATACTTTTCACTCATCTTTTTTTTTATTAGCATCTAGTGAATATTAAGATTTGTTGGATCAATGAAGACCCTCCTGACTGTTGTAATTGAAACCTGTACCAATGATTATTAAGATGATTCAAAATGTAGTTTTTAGCCAATCTGTGAAAAGGTGACGCTTTCAATGGTTTTGCCCATTTGTAATGTTTATACTGATGATTCTGTAGCGTTCCTCGGACTCAGGCAGACATGGCTGTGGCAGCATACTTGCCCGTTTTCCCATTTTTGCCTATTTTGTAATCCTGGGACTTGGGCACATGGCTCTGGGAGCATGCTTGTCCATTTTCCCACTTTTGCCTTCTTGAATATATGTCAAATAAAACTTTCTTTTTGCTTTACTGAACTTTGTGATGTTTTGACCCTACAACAGAGGCTAGAAGTCTGAATTCAGGGTGCTGGCTCTATGGGAAGGCTTTCTCTGTGGGCTCTGGAGAAAGGAGGCCCTTGTCTCTTTGAGCTTCTGCTCCTGGGCAATCTTTATGCGGCCTGGCATCTCACTTCCCCCATCTCTGCTTGGTTGTTTAATCTCTTTTGTATCTCAAAAGAGAATGACCCAAGAACACCCTACACTAATCCTGTCTTATTAACATAACAAAGACAATCCAGTCATATAGCGACCCTATATGACAAGGTGACCTGCCCCACAGGGTTTCCCAGGCTGTAATCTTTACGGGAGCAGAGGGAGCAGATCGCCAGGTCTTTTCTCCCATGGAGTGGCTGGTAGGTTTGAACCTCCAACCTTTCGGTTAGCAGTGTGCACTTTAATCACTGCACCACCAGGGCTCCTTAACCATAGGCATAGGGGGTTAGGATTTATAACACACATTTTGGGGGGACATAATTCAATCCATAACAGCTACCTCTCAATTAACTGTGGCACAAAACATACATGACCTGCCTTTCTCCAAGAAGCACAGGTTTACGAACATTCTCTTTCTCTGGAGCTGAGTGTTTAAATTTAGGTACCTGTAGATGAATGCTTGATCTTTAGGACAAACTGTCTTGTTTGTCAAGTGACTGAAACCCTAAGTGAAAATGTGGGGAGCTTACTGGTATGTGGTAGTGTGTCAAGAACAAGATGCTTCCCTATTTAACTTATCCAAGCCCCCTACTGCCTAAGCTGGCCCAGTGCCTAGAAAACTAAACAAATTCAGTCTGAACTGAGGGAAAAAGCACACAAAGAAAAAGGTTAATAGGGTCAAAGACTTATTGGCTTGGAGAGATTTTGGCAAAAAGCCTCGAAAATAGCAGGAGACTCTGCTAGTCAATCTCTGTAGACAGCTAACAGGCAGAACTTCTGGGACAGGACAAATATGACCGTGTAGCTTTCGTCAGCAATGGGATGAAAAGTCCGGATGGACTTCCATTTTCCCAGAAGGGTTACAGAAACACTAGATACACGGCCCAGAACCAAACTCTGTGCTCTACTAACTAGCAGTGCAGAAGATAAAAGGGAAAATTGTAGAAATCTATCAGGAACCACTGATAATCTCTCCTCCAGCCTAAAGATGCTTCTGGGGGAAAAGGATCAGTAGGGACTGAAGCTGGTTCTGTTGGGAGGATGAACCACGAGCGTGAACACGGCAGCACCATAAGGAAGAAGGGCATGGAACAGTCTGTAGCAACTAACAGCAACTACAGGGGTCTTCACACTCAAGGTTATCTGCAGATCACTAGAGGTACCTGGGGCCTTCTGATGTATCAACAGTCCATGGCAATAATTTCTTAGCCAAGCCAAGGGATTCTCAGTAAAAAGTGGTGTGTTTTTATAAAAAAATAAGCAAACTGATATTTTAAGGAGGCATACACTTCTACTTTGCACGCACAGGGTCGCCATGAGTTGGAATCAACTTGACAGCAACTAACAACAACAAACACTTAAAATCAAGTGACTGAAGAAATACTGTTTAAAACAGATTTTTCATTAAAAAAGGCAGTAAAAAGTAAATTATTCTTATGCTTACTGGACGAATATTCTCCCAGGAAAAGTTAAACTTCTGAATAGAAAAGTTGAAGGTCTTGTTAAAATAAACAATATAAAAGAACAACAAAGCAAGGGACCCTCGTTAAACCCATAATGCCTTCGTGAGTATGCTTTACAATAAAACTAATAAAGTCACTGAAATTCTTTAAAACATTCCTTTTTCAAGAATTTCATTCCCTGTCTACTATTTCTAACAACACGCAGTTGCAGAAGACAAAATGAGGAATCACTAGAAATACATTAGGAACCATCTATAATCTTTCTAGTCTGATGGCACTTCTGGGAAAGTACATTCCAAGAAACAAAATTCCTCTACATTCTTTTCCACAACAATTTTAAATTTTTCATCCCAGACGTGCCCTCTCACCCAGGGGCCAGCAGCCCAAGTATCCACATCACAGAATCCCAACACTTTTGAACATGTTTGTTCATGACTGGATTTCATGACTTGAAAGGCAAATAACGCCCCAAAGAGCATCAATAGTAGGAAAATAGATTAAGGTTTTTAATTAGAAATGGAGAAGTAAAGTAGGAAGGGAAAGGCTGACCTTAACCTTAACACATCTCAAGGTAAGGCTGACACAGGCAGTTAAACCAGAAGCTGGTCAATATGCATAAGCAACCATCTTCATGTCCATTAGATTCACTGCTCAAATCTAAATCAGCTTCCTAAACACATCTAAGTTAAGAACAAAGAGGAGACACTCTGCTAGCCTTAGAAGACCACTAATTTGAGAACTTCATATATGCTATTGAGTAAATATATTAGTTTTGCTGTGGATTTAATAGAACATAGCATACCTGAGATTACTAAGCACTGAGATGCCATGAGAAAAAAAAGACAAGAAAATTTTCCCCAAGAATAAACTGCTGTTGTCAATACATACATACATTCATTCATACATAAACATACTTGAAACTGGGCACCAAAATCTGCCACCAGTATAACTAAATCAAGAAACAAGTACTTACCACTGTCAGAAGAATCTTCTTTTTTAGAACGCATCTTTCTTTTTCTTCCACGTTTACCCTTCTTTGTCTCTCCTCCATTTTCCCCTTCCACACCATCTGGACCAGCACAATTATCAGCATGTCTTGCCATGGTATTCTAACAAAAGGAACCAGACCTTCTTTCACATTACTGAAAAACTAACATCAGCATGTCGGAATTTTAAGTTCTCTTGATTTTTAGTTTAATAAAATAAAATTTGGGAGGTACCCATATCAAGTCTGGATTTCCTAGTATCTGCCAAAATGTGTCCTGAACATGCTTTCCTCATTCAGGGGGATTGGTCTCAATCTGGACCAGAGTCAGTGAGGGAAAGAAAGAGATTGAAAGGGAGAGAAAGAGAGAGTGAAAGAGAGTGCAAGCCTCTTAAAAGATAAGGCTGTGTACTCTGAGGGGAGGACTCAGCAGCCTGCAAGATAGGAAGATGCAGGAGAGGATCAGACCAGCTCCCTGTCCCATGCAGATTTCAATCCTTTTAAGGAAATTATTTTAAACAATCAAACCTATTCAAAGATAGTGAGTTGCCTAACAGTGGAAAGGTTCACACACGGATAGAAAACTCCAGATTGGGATGACTGGCTGGGGACTGCCCTTTCCATATGAGAGAGCATGTCTACGTTTACAACCTCAGTGGAAAAAAACTGCCCTGCTGGGAAGTGGAAGATCAAGAATGCAATATTAAGAACCATCACAGGGGAAGTGAAGTTTGGATTCTTACCCGACGTGTAAATGTTTTCCCACACTTAGAACAGACGAAGGCCGCAGGGACAAAGTTGGGGTCGTGATAGCGTTTGAAGTGCATGTCAAGGAGCTGTTTCTGGCGGAAGGTCTTTTCGCAGTGGCTGCAGGCATAAGGCTTCTCCCCAGTGTGGGTGCGTTTGTGCATGATCATATGCCTTTCCTGAAACACAGCCGGGGTAGAAGAGGCTCAGAGCCTGGCCAGGGGATGGTACCCAGCCACCGGCCACATGCACATGGCTGACAGGCTTTCTCATCCAAGGGTCTGGGCTCAACACTGCTGGTCGAGACAATAAAGCCATCTTTACTGGGATAAATGCTAGTGCATCCACACATCTAGTGCAGATAAAACTGCCCACTCCTCCTGGGCTGCTTCTCTAGCTCCTGCCTCAAGCACCATGCCCCAGGAGCAGACTCTTTCCCCTCTCTAGTCCTGGACTTAATTTCCACACAATTTTGAGAAAGAAGTTGGTAGTTTACATTAGGAGAAGGTAAGCTGTGACTGAATAAAATAACAGCTGGAGACTGGGACTATTCAACTGAGGAGCACGGCCTTTGATTTTTTTATTTTGGTGATGTTCCTCATAAACGACAGTTTAAAAATACCATCCTTAAAAATAGCCACCATTGAAAATCTGGTAATAATTATTGGTGATGGTTGCACACGATGTAATTGATATCACTAAATTGTACACGTGAAAAAAAAAAGTGCAATTAAAATTAATACTTCTAACTTAAAAAAAAAAAAAAAAAAAAGCCACCAAGCCACCATACATAAAAGTCCTTTGATAAAACCTTACACCGTAGGGCATCGAGTGCTTTCTAATGATGCAGGTCCCTACCTGTCTGCAAGCATAATCACACTGGTCGCACTTAAAGCGTTTCTCGTTCTTGTGTGACTTCTGATGCTGGATGAGGGCATAGCGCTCATGAAATACAGCATCACAGTAACGGCATTTCTTGCCTTGCTCAATATAGGAATGCTGCTTTCGCAGGTGGACACCTGAAAGTGAAAACACAAAATTCAGTCTAACTTGTGAAAATACAAACAAGCATTTCAACAAGTTAATAATACATTTCCTTCTGTTTCTTGAAAAAAATTACTCTGGCTGCCATACAGAAAATAAATTAAAAAAGAGGAACAAGAGATGTGGGGAGACCAGTTAAGATTGCTGAAACAGGATAGGTGAGAGAAGGTGGTGGTCTGAACAAGGATGATGGCCATGTATATGGAAGGAAGGGGAAGAATAGATGAGTGTAGGAAGTTGAATCAACAGGATTTAGTGACTGAAGAAGAGTGAGGAAGAGGAACGTGGGTGTCAGGGATGACTCTGATGAGATCACTAAGGCTTGACTGCAGCAAGGGAAAGGACAGAAAAAACAGCAACTAAGCAACAGCTTTTATTAAGTAGCAGGCCATTTACATACAATAAAGCTTAAGAGTCAGAGAGTGAAGTAATTTATGGTCCTCCTTATTTGCACAAATCCTTCAAAATATATGTATATATAGTTTAGTAGCGTCACTAGTTAATCTACTTACCCAAATCACTTTTTCGGGCTATGACAGTGTCACAGTGGGGACAGTGAAATTTGGCCACATTTTCTGTGTGCTTCTGTAAAATGTGCATCTTCATCGTACCGCTCTGGGTAAACCGAGCGTGACAAATATAACATTCATAAGGTTTTTCCCCTTAAAAGGAAATACAGAATGAACAAATTTGATGAAGTGAAGACATTGTATAATTTAACTGGAGGGTAATTCAGGGGCAGATACGCTAAGCCAGAGGATCTTCAGGTCTTACTCGGGCCTGAGGCCACTGCCCTGCATGTGCCTATCTCCAGAAATGGTTGACAAGTCCTAAAGGGCTGTTGGCCACCTCTGTTCTGCCCAGCTCTGCTACAGAGTCCTTCACATTTAGTTCCTACAATAATGCCTACCTTTAGGGGAGAGTAGATGGGATGGCAGGAGGATCAACTCATTTTTCTTTGTAGAAAAAGATAGTGCTTAGGAAAACTGAGCAGGTTGGGTTAGGTAATCTACCAACTTCTGAAAGTAAAAATTCTAGATTTTCATTTCATTTCTTCCTTAAAAGCATTGTTCCATTTGCAAAAACTCATGTTGAATAATAAAACAAGTCATTCTCTAATATATATTCAGAACAATGAATTCAGAAATATGCTAGAGAATCACATACTACTTTTATGCCAGCCTTTGGTTCAGGCAAACAATATGGGTGTGTGGTGGTTCATAGGGTCCCCTGGCATCCACGGAAAAGCAGCTCACTAGGGGAAAAGTCCTACCTGAATGGGTTCTCATGTGCCTTTTCAGTTTGTATGTATCCCTGCTGGCGTAACTGCACAAACTGCACTGGAATGGACGCTCTCCAGTATGAGAGCGTATGTGACGTTTTAATTTGCTGACCTGAAACATGAAAGCAACTTGTTAACACAGACTGTATCACAAGCAAGAGCTGGGCACAAAGGCTTAGCTTTTGGGCACCAACATTCAAAATACACAAAAAGCCTAACCGATAATATTGTTTCCTCCTCATTATTTGTAACTTTCATTTCTCAAATCTATACTATAGTCCAAAGGAAGGTTGTAAATGTACAGCGGTATAGATGAGTCAAACTGGTCATTACTAATAATGGTTTAAGCTGGGTGATAGATGCATGGGGTGTATTATACCATTTTCTCTACTTCAATGTATGTTCAAAAATTCCCACAATAGTTTAAAAATAATCCATTACCTATTTATGGATTGATTTTCTTCCAAATTCTGAATCTGAGTTAATGAGCATATGTTTCAATACCCCTCACCCTCTCTTCTTATCATTAGCACCTCCCAGACAGGCAAGGCTTCAGGGCCCTTGCATCTATGTTTGTCATTATTGACTACGCCTTTAGTCTCCTGCTGGGTATTCTTCCCTCAAAAAGAGTGACTTTCAAATCTGGTTCTAACAAGTGCTTTGAGCACTCACTAATACACATGTTCCTCACTTATCAACCCTCTTGTTATCCGACATTTCACATTTATGACAATAGTAAAAAAATCTACTATCTGACTACTTTGTGCATGAAAGAGGTGGCAGGCATGACAGCAAAGGCTGTGGAGTGTCCCTCCCTTGCGGAGGGTCTCTGGGCAGCTTCCGGGAAGCTAGACCACACTGCCCCATGCCCTCTACTCTTTCCTGCTGGCAGGGGCGCTGCATCCAGTTGCCATGTGGGGCTGGCCTCCTCTGTGCTACAGCCTCTGGGCAGATAAGCAGGAAGCACTGAACCAACAGGTGCCTGTTATGGGTTCCCAGCTCCTACGCAGCATGAAGACCTATGGCTCAAAATTGCAGTGGAGTGGGAAAGGAGGAAAGAGGAATTGCAGAGGGTGTTTGGAAGAAATGCATGCGAGTTTAATGACATTCCAAAGTGAGCCGAACTAGGCCTGAAGCCTGGTGCTCGCCTGGCTCCTGCCTGGCTCCCATTGCTCTCACAGGAAGCCTGACGCTTCAGCGACTTGCTAGGCCTGGAGGGCTTACATGGGTGGGAGTGGAACCCTGGAGACAGCTCCTCGAAGGAAGCTCTGACCCAGCACAGGAGGAAGGTGAAGTGGTTAGGCCGTGGGCCCTCCAGTCACACAGCCCGACCTTATCCAGCTTCGTCTCCTCCAACCCTAATTCTCTGCACAGAGATAATCTATAACTGAACAGTGATGAGCACATCGGTAAATTTTAGCTGTTATTATTTCTACAATCATATTTTTTAAAGAAAAAAAAAATCCAACAAACGGATGATCTGAAAACAGTAAAGAAAAAAAAAAAACTTCCACTTTCATATAACTCTGCTTTTCGCATAACCACCTGGTCTTTGGAACCTAACCGTGTTAATAAGTGATGAGTGGGTGTATTTGATTTGAAATTTTAAAAATGTTCCAAAAAATAATAAAAAGCCCTGCACTCATAAGTGTTACACAGCAAATTTTCAAAACTCTAAGTGGTTAAACTATTGTTCCAACAGCATTACTAATTCCCTTTACTCCCAGATTTCCCTTCATCAAATTTTAAATTCGTATGTACACCAGCATCTATTTTGTTCTACCAAGCTATTCTGTCTATTCCTTTCCAATATTTTGTTCTTTTAATTTAGTATACAGTTTTACAACATTCCCACAGCACAAGCACCCTAATTCTTTTTCCAAGATCTTATTCATTCACATTCACTCTTCCAGTCGATCAGACTTGTAATGCCTTTTAATTAATCTATGTCCTTCGAAAAAGTTTGTTTTCTTCATATAAGTATCAGATTTTTTCTGTTCAATTTATTCCTAATCATTTTGTTACTGTTTGAACCATTTCATAGCTTCCTACTATTGACAGTATACAGTAAAATTACTGATTTCTATATATTTTTTATCTGGGAACTCAACTGAACTCTTACTGCTCTGAGTTTTTCAGTTGATACTCTTCGATTTTCTGGGTAAGCAAATACACCTGTAAGAAATGGCAGTTTTTTCTTTCCATTTTATTCCATTGGCTAGGATTTCTAGTACAATGTTGAAATAGTGAGAATGATTATTCTGTCTTGTTCTTTATTTTATGGGAATACTTTCAATGTTTCAGAGTTAATTAGGATGGGTTTACTATAGGTTTCTGGTACACACTATCATTTTTTTTGTTGTTGTTTATTGTTATAGTTTAAGTGAAAGTTTACATTTCAAGTTAGTCTCTTATACAATAATTTATACATAAATTGTTATGTGACACTAATTACTCTACCTATACTGTGACAGCACACTCTTCCTTTCCACCCTCGATTTCCCATGTCCATTTAACCAGCTCCTAACCCTCTCTCTACCTTCTCATCTCACCTCTGGACAGAAGCTGCCTGTTTAGTCTCATGTATCTACTTGAGCTAAGAAGCACACTCTTCATGAGTATTTTATGTCCCACAGTCCAGTCCAATCTTTGTCTGAAGAGTTGGCCTCAGAAATTGTTTTAGTTCTGGGCTGACAGAGTGACTGGGGGCCATGCTTTCCAGGGTTCCTCCAGACTAACTCAGATCATTAAATCTGGTCTTTTTACCAGAATTTGAGTTATGCACCCAACCTTCCTCCTGCTACATCAGGGACTCTCTGTTGTGTTCCCTGTCAGGGTGGTCATTGTGGTAGCCAGGCACAATCCAATTCTTCTAGTTTTAGGCTGATGAAGTCTCTGCTTTATGTGGCCCTTTCTGTCTCTTGGGCTAATATTTTCCTTGTGTCTTCGGTGTTCTTCATTCTCCTTTACTCCAGGTGGCTGGGACCAATGGACGCATCTTAGATAGCTGCCTGCAAGCTTTTAAGACCCCAGATGACACTCACCCAAATAGGATGCAGAACATTTTCTTCATAAACTTTTTTATGCCAATTGACCTAGATGTCCCTGAAAGCATGGTCCCCAGACCCTTGCTACTCTGCCGCTTGAAGTGTTTGATTGTATTCAGGAAACTTCTTAGCTTTGGTTTAGTTCCGTTGTGCTGACTTCCCTGTAGTGTATGCTGTCCTTCCCTTCACCTAAGATAATTCTTATCTACTATATAGTTAGTAAATAACCCTCACCCTCCCTCCCCACCTTTGTAACCATCAAAGAATGTTTTCTTCTGTGTTTAAACCTTGAGTTCTTATAATCGTGGTCTTATACAACACTTGCCCTTCTGTGACTGACTAAATTCACTCAGCATAATGCCCTCCAGATTCCTCCATGTGATGTTTCTCAGCTTCATCCTTGCTCTTTATCATTGTGTACTATTCCGTTGTGTGAATATACCATAATTTGTTTATCCATTCGTCTGTTGATGGGCACCGAAGTTGTTTCCATTTTTTTGCTATTGTGAACAGTGCTGCAATGAACGTAGGTGTGCACATATTTTATGCGTGTGACGGCTCTTATTTATCTAGGATGTATTCCGAGGAGTGGGATTGCTGGATTGTACGGTACTTCTACTCCTAGCTTTTTAAGGAAGTGTCAAATCGATTTCCAAAGTGGTTGTACCATTTTACACTCCCACCAACAGTGTGTAAATGTTCAGTCTCTCCACAACCTCTCTAGCATTTATTATTCTGTTTTTTGGATTAATGTTAGCCTTGTTGGGATGAGACAGTATCTCATTGTAGTTTTGATCTGCATTTCTCTAGTGACTACTGATCGTGAGCATTTCTTCATGTGTCTGTTAGCCACCTGAATGTCTTTGGTGAAGTGCCTGTTCATACCCTTTGCCCATTTTTTAATTGGGTTGTTTTTTTGTTGTTGAGGTTTTGCAGTATCTTGTAGATTTTAGTCAGATGGTGATTGGATTTGTTATAGCCAAAAATTTTTTCCAGTCTGTAGGCTGTCTTTTTACTCTTTTGGTGAAGTCTTTTGATGAGCATGAGTGTTTGATTTTTAGGAGCTCCCGGTTATGTAGTTTTCTCTTCTGGTGTTTGTGCATTATTATGGTTCCTATTCTGTTTATGCCATGTATTAGGGATCCTAGCATTGTCCTTATTTTTTCTTCCATGATCTTTATCGTTTTTGATTTTATATTTAAGTCTTTGATCCATTTTGAGTTAAGTTTTTGTGTACGGTGTGAGGTATGGGTCTTGTTTCAGTTTTTTGCAATTGGATATCCACTTATGCCAGTACCATTTGTTAACAAAGAGACTGTCTTTTCCCCAATTAATGGACTTTGGGCCTTTATCAAATATCGCTGCTCACAGGTGGATGAATTTATGTCTGGATTCTCAATTCTGTTCCACTGGTTTCTGTTGTTGTACCAGTACCAGGCTGTTTTGACTACTGTGGTGGTATAACAGGTTCTAAAATCAGGTAGTGTGAGGCCTCCCACTTTGTTCTTCT